TACTTTAAGGCATGAGAAAATTATTTTCACAAGAAAAAAAACATTTAAATATGTAATTTTGATGATCAAATATGAGTTTTAAGGAATACAATTTTGACTACAGGAGGACTTAAACTTCACGGGACAATTGCAAAAGTGTGCACATGCAAAACCACATTCAACACGCCCACGTTTACTTCAAATAAGCGCATTTTGTGGTTTACATGAACGTCGTATTAAGCATCAATGGCTTATTAAAAGGGAGAAAGACCACGCAATCTCTTCTTGCCATTTTCACTTCACGGAAACACAAAAAATATCATACAACATGCCAAAATTAAACCTAAAATTCATTATAGTAACACAGCTTTTGATATAAGGTGTTTTGTGGATTAAACGAGACGAAAAACCACGTTCCGTTCACTTAAACAGCTCATTTCCCCCAGACATATTCATACAATGCTTAGTCAGTGTTTATATATGTTGAACTTGTGTGTATAAATATGTTTTAAATAATACCTAGGCTATTCATTTTTCTTTGGACAAACGACTTATAAAACAATATCCACTCAAAAACATCGGATATGCTGTACGTTTTTGTCAATAAATTTAGTCTAAAAAATCATATTTATTTAGTGCAACTTACCTGAGGCGTGAACTTGACCAGACGGCGCTGTTATCGCCGAAACATTATTAGTTTAGTCATTTAGCATTCTGAATGTTGACTGGATTTGAAAATATTTGTGCAGATTCACAATTTGAGTTGAATTACTGAAATAAATGAACTTTTCTAATTCTAATTTATTGAGATGCACCTGTAATGTCTTCTCAACTAAGCCCAAGCAATAAAATTAGCAATTGCATTGCTTTTCTACATAGTGTGTTTTAGTACATTAATGAAAATCTTGAGTTAAATATAAGTGTAACGTCTGGTAGTAAAATCACTTGCACAATGAAGGAGAATAACTGGAAATAGACTTTAATAACAAACTCAGAGAAACATTACCAAACACTATTATAACAGAGAAGGGACATAGTCAAATGGTGAACTGAGGGTTTAAGTACAAGAGAAAAACAAAGGAGCTGATGAGTTAATTAACCAGACAACAGGTAAACATAATTAACTAATTATGGCAACTAAGGAAAACTAGGTCAAACAAGGCAGACAGAAAACAGACAGACAAAGCATACATGTTACAGTAAGCTTGTGTTAAAGTGGCATGGTATCATCCTGAACATGCACAAGAATATTAAAGTCAGTTAGAGTAAATTTTATCTGATTTGTGTCAGTTGTTGTTAATCGAATTGTTATAATTGTTTTAGAAGTTTATTTGGTAATACTTTACAATAAGGTTCCATTTGTTAACATTAATTACATTAGTTAAAGGGCACCTATTATGCAAAATCCAGTTTTACATTCATGGCCGGACTTACCATTGGGCTTGAGTGGGCTGCAGCCCATGGGCCCCGCCTTGTAGGGGGCCCCGCCTTTGCCCGTTTACGTTTGTTTGATTTGTTTGTTATATGCCAGTCAGAATTCCGAAATTATTAGCCGCATTTCCATACGCAAGATCTAAACAGGCCAGCCGGGGTTACAGCTTACAACTACGACCTTCGAGGCCACAATCAAACAGCATAAACTGGTATTTATGATTATTTCACATAGAAGGACACACGTATTGAATCGCGTCTGCACCGATTGGTTTGTTATCACATGGCTACTTTAAACAGCTCCATTAAGCCTTTATCCCCAAAGAGCGCACATTTAGAAAGATAATGATAAATTCTCAAATGTTCACACCTCATTTCTTTACAGAGGATGATTCTATATTACTATAGCCTATTAATGTTCCACTAAATTATGCGATCATCTGATGAGTTTTGAGCGCTCTCTCTCGTCTTACTGCCATTACACATAGTGGGGAAGAAATGTCATCAAAATGATTTTAAATAAAAAAAATAGCAATTTAATGAGTTTCTGTTTTAATAACATAGCTGTGCCTATGATATAGGACTTAGCCTATCACACAAACAAGAGTCCTGTTTTTTTTCTCAAATATCTGCACGATCGCAAATGTACAATAAACAACAACTTACAGAGTAACTTTCAGACACAAAATTCCATTTTGCTCCGTCAGAAAGAAAATCGAACAAACAGCCGAACCGCTGCGTCTCCGAACAACAGTGTTTTGTTCTTTAGCGTTACACAGACCAGCAAATGATTCAATTCAGTCGTTTGCAAAGTTAAATGAATCAGCTTTTTAAAGAAATCGGTTGATTCAACTCACTCATTAAGACAGTAACTTGCTGCCACCTACTGGCGGTTGTAGTTTCATATTTTAAAAAGTAGCTTATTTCATTTTTGCAATCATTTAATATTTCTACATTAAAAAGTTATATTTAAACTTAACATTATGCACAATCCATCTATGAATTTTGTTGATAGTGATTTAATTTGATTGTTAATAGCCAGCATGTCTTTTTATTTGATTAAATAAGAACCTCATACAAGAGGACACAGATATGACACTAACTTTTATAATACTAATAAGCCAACATCTCTGGCTTCTTTTTTTTTTTGCTCAAAGTTATTTCAGGGTTTTGATCTCTTAACTGAGAGAACACATCCTGTTTATTATATTATAATGAATATTTAAAATGACATTTAAATTTTGACTATAGCCTAGACATGTTGCATATTAATTGTACTATTTATGAACCTCAAAGCATATGTTTGTGTATTTTGTGTTACTCCATAATGATGTTCTATTTGAGGGCATTTGTAGTGTAAGTATAGGGCCCAAACATAACCTCAAGCCCAGGGGCCCCCGTCCCCCTAAGTCCTGCCCTGTTTACATGGTATTTGGACATAAACGTGTTTGCAGTGTGTGAACACAAACACCCAACAATGATAAAAACCCACTCTCTCCATATTTTTAGTCCCCATTAAACCAAATCAGTCTCACTAGGCCTGCCATTTTTATTGTCTAAGCAATATGACATCACATTGCATAGGGCCGGCCCACAGTGGTTGATTCACACTGATTGAACTCTCGTAAGCAATCCCCATGTTCTGTGTTTGGATGTAAGACTGAACATTAGAGTCTTTATTTTTTCCCAACATCTGAGCCACTGAGGACGTAATGCACCTCAAAATCTACCTTTATACGTTTATGTCTGTGCAAATAATTTAACTTCAGACTGCTTTGTGAATGTCATGTCATTATAGTGCATAGCGTTTTAACCGTATTTGTGTGTGTATGTTATCGATTTTCATTGATCATAGCCGCGCTTGAGAAATTTGTTTGGGCCGCGCTGTCCGTTCAGTAGCGAGGACGCATGGCTCGGCCCATTGAGCCTCACCGATGACAGGTCAGCACAGCGCAAGTTCTGTAACATCGCGCTGTTTCTTCCCACTCTCAGTGCATTTGGCTTCCCATATGTACGGCTGAACACCGGTTCTCTTGCTCTCAGTCATGTTGCTACTACCAGAGAGATAGTCTGGAGACGGGGTGGGAATATGCAGCTCATTTGCATTTAAAGTAATACACATTAAAACAACTCTTTTTTTAGACACACCCCAAAAATGACATTTTCCAGATGTTAGAATAAATGATCTGTGGGGTATTTTGAGCTGAAACTTCACAGACACATTCTGGGGACACCCAAAACCAATAGCTATTACATCTTGTAAAAGGGGGCATAATAGGTCCCCCCTTTAAAATAAACTAACAATGAAATAATACTTCTAAAGCATTTATTAATCTTAGTTCATGTTGACTCCAACATTTGCTAATACATTATTAAAATCAAACGTTCAAAAGTATCTATTAATGTTATTCAATGGGCCTGAGCTAACATAGACTAACAATGAACAATTTGTATTGTGTTAAAAAAGATTAATAAATACTGTAACAAATTATTGCTCATTGTTAATGTTAGTTAACGCATTAAATATAGTTAACAAATGGAAACTTACTGTAAAGTGTTACCATTTATTTTATATGTTAAGAGATCTCTAAACTTAAGTAAATATATTTTCTCTTTATGCAGAGTAAAAAGACTCCGTTTTATACAGCATGATTCATAGCGGTTAGTGCTTATACAGTATGATTCATAGCGGTTAGTGCTTTGTAATGTCATTGAGAATTCTCAACAGAATTTGTTGGTAATATACTGTAAAGCATCAGTGTATAGGAAATCCATCTAAAGCAGTTTAAAATAATTGTATCCATTATTTAATCAAATGTTTTGTTGCATTTTACTTTACAAATGTTATTTTGCACATAGAGAGACAAGAGACACTATTGTCAGAGACAAGATATGTTAAATAAAAAACATTAACATTACATTAAAAACATTAAAATACATTACAAATGCAGCCAAGCTGGATGATGAGTAAAACAGCATGCATGTTAATTAATATATAAAAGCCTCATATGCAAACACACTGCATAAGTTTTAAAACTTTATTCAACATTGTTAGTCAACACAAGAAACACGTCAGTGTGGCTTTGTTTTGATGCATTCTAAAAGGTTATAGAAAGGAAGAAAGCATGACCACAACTGCAAAGGAAGATGATTGGTGAAGAGTGGAAACCAAGTTAAAAAAACGAAAATCAGAGAGTAAGTACCATTTGCTGTTAAGTTTAAAATTTGCAATGAGACAAAAAGGCTTTTATTGCCTTTTTATATGCCTTATTATATGATTCTCTACTTTTCCATCAGTCAGTTCACTGTTGGCCTACTTGTCAGATGGAAAGTAGCAGGCACTTCACAACATTCTTGAGTTCTTTGCACATGCATGAGCACCTCAGACCACAAATGAGGTCTTTGACATTTCTTTTGTCCATCAGCTAACAATATCTCTTAAACTGCTGCATCTTTTTTTGTTGTTCTTCACACTTAAACTATTTTAAATTATTCCTGATCTACAGCATCTTAAATATAAGCATGATATTCACACTAAATTAATTATAGAATTGTATTTCTCTCTCTCTGAACTGAAAGGAACGGGGAAAAATGAAAATGATAAACTCAAATACAAAGCAATAAATCATTTAAAAGCTTTGCCAATCCAAATAGAGAGTTATACAACTTAAACTCTATATCACAGGTATTTAGCGGAGTAGCTTGGTGGATTGATAGTCAGGGTTGATGAATGTCCGTACACTGGGCGGGCAGGCCAAATTGCTCCGTTTCATCTCTTCATAAACTGAGTCTGAGGGTTGATTTGATGGTCTGTATTTCTTGTTCCCCCAACACCCCTTCAGCTGAGGATGACAAAAAGAAGTGACTCATTTAAAAATATAAAATTTTCATGAATCTTGCAATGTTCTTGGCCTATTCTCCAAATATTTCTTCAGCTTCTAAACTGACTATAACAGGGGCGCAGTAATGGGGGGGAAATGTGGAGTGATTCTAGGAGCCCTATCAGAGAGGAGACTCGGAAGGGACAACAGGAACAGGGTTTAGAACCACTGAGAAGATTAAAAGGACATTTCATTTGGAAGAGAGACGCAGAGGAACGGGGCACCTGTCAAAATCTTGTTCACAAGAATTTTGACACTTGCTTGTGGTGCATGACTGCTAGCAGAGCATACTGTGAAATCTGTCAATAAGCAATCAGACATAACAGCGACTTATGTGGTCGAATAAAAAAAACAAGGGTTGTTATTTGAAAAGTTGCAGGGTTGTTTTGTTTGTTTTTTCTAGCTCTGTGACTTCTGTTTCTCGATGGAAAGCCTATGGAAGTGTTTTGGTTATAGAATTTGAGCTGTACATTAATGTGCATTAGCCATTGATTGTGTCAACTGTTAAGTGGTTCAGCTATTATAAGACATCTGGAAGTGTAGTGCTTTTTGCATTCTCGGTCAGTGTAAAGGTAAGATTGTCTGAGTGTGAAATGCTGATACAGCATACTCTCAAAAAGACTCCGCTGCTGAAATGCATTAATTTTTCACTTCAGCATTTAAGAAGCCAAAATGAACTAAAGGTTTAGTGCTTTAGCATATCATTTTCCATTATCAGTGTTTTATGCACTTTCTGCTTAATGTCAAAAACAATTAATAGTTTTAGAACAAACTGCAGGGCCACTTGACTTTTGAGCACCATTTCAGAAGTTTCCTGTGGTTTTTAAACACGCCATAACTAATTTTACATGTAAAGCTTTGACTTATTTTGACAAACAGAAGTGTTTGGAAAGTTAGTTTAAAATTTTGCATAGTGTATAAATGTAAATAGAAAATCATCCTAGAGTTTAATAACTGCAAAAGAATTAGAGAGCAATAGATTTTCAACAACAAATCAAACCACAGAGTATCAAAAGCAGCTGTCATTTGTGCACTGCACGTTTACACATGACAGCATTCCTCTATAATGTATTTCAGATATATGCATAATGTTGTTTATAAGTTTAGTTTTTACTTTTTATTTGTGCTTTTAGGTGATCCACACTGATTTTTGGGTGTATATGTATACATACCTTCAGAATCACAAAGATGAAACAAGTGATGCACAGTAGCAACATGACACCACACACAATGAGAACGATCTTCACATGAGGATCTTCTGGGCACTTTTTCTTATCTTCTTTATCGGTGTCTTTTTTTCCCACTGATTTTTCCACGATAGAATAGAAATTCAAGGCCAGAGAATTAGAGCTGTCCTCTATGTTGTTTTTCATTCAGTATTAATTTTTTTAAAAATTACTGTACTTCTCAATCTCTGCATCTGAATAGAAGTTTTCCATTTACATAGTTTACGTACTAAATAAATGCATTACATTAAGACCACAGTAAACCCATCATGTTTGATAATGAAATTATTTACATGAACTGTAAGACACACTTACCTATCCATAACCATGTGACCGGGCTAACTGTAATTTTATCTTCCAAATTAAATTCACACCAGTAAAGTCCAATGTCTGTGGTATTTACATTTGACAAGGTGGCATAAATTTTGGGAATTTTTCCATCTACATGGACTTTGGATTTGTACATTGTTGATTTAAGGGTAAAAGTGTTGTCTTTGTAATAGTAGAAGACTTCCTGCTTATTTTGACTTGCTGCTTCTTGTTTGTACATGTACACCCCATCTTGAGGGGTTTTATCAATAGCGCACTGGATGATGATCTTATTACCAACAGCTCCGGTTAAAGTTGTAACTGTGTTTGAAAAAAAAAAAAAAAAAAACTAATGAGACTTAAACACTTAAATAAACTGATTAATTTTTAGGCAATAGTGCATCTTAAATCATTTTTGTAGCAACATGTACAGACATGAAAACACAAATAAAGTAGTCTTTACCGCTTTTCATTTACATAAGTGTGCTCAATTGTCTTTTCTTAACTAATGCAACATTTCTCAAAAATATTTTCTACTGCAGAATCTAGCATACATGAAAGTAACATTTTTATATGTTGAAATGGAAAGCAAAATGTATACATAAAAAAAATATATATTCATACCTTGCACCATTGCATCTGCCCATGTGGTGCTTCTTAAACAGATACTGATCAATAGAAAACTGGATCTCGCAACACACGCCATCTTCACAGCTCTGTGTGACTATATAGCCTCTGTTGAACAACATCTGGTGGAAGTGGTGGTCGCATACAGAGCTTATATTAAACTTTTTTTCTTAAGGAAGTTAAGAGCCAAGTGGTGTTGCATTGTAATTGCAGAATGTTAGCTTAGAATATAGATATATAATATACAATAAATAGTCTCACTTGACAACTCACAAAACAGTTTGTAACACTGTGACACAAGTAGCCTAAACCTAAACAAGTCATTAATGATAACATGAGTCCACAACATTGATTTTCAGGACATTGAAATGCTGTTTACAGTCTAATACTGAATGTTTAAATGTTCCTATTTATTTATGTATTTCTTCAATTAGGATGTTTTATGTATTATATATAAACTTGTGTGTAGTGTTGAAACAGTTTAAATAATTGAATGTGTGTATTTCTGTAAAAGGATTTAATATGTGTCTCCAGCTGTGTCTTCACCTCATGATCATTTGTATATAAGTTCATATGTGTTCTTTAGTTTGTCTGGTCTCAATATTAAATATTATGGTTGTGTTTGGTTTGCCTGCTTTGTTTGGATTCTTTTCAGTGTGGATCATTAAAGACCTCATCTACTTCTTTGTATGCTTTTAACATCCAAGTTGATTAACTATATGAAATGATATAAATATATAAATTTCTGCCCCCATGTCTTGAATTTTGTAATCATTCTAAATGCATTTTAATAAACTGAATCATGCAGTGAAAGAACGCTCACTGGTCTAACCTACTAGACTTCCTTCTTTAGCTAACTTACATGGTAGCTCTCTCATATGAGTCATGGATGTTAGCAAGACAAATGAACTATTTTGTCTTTTGGATAATTAAATTAGAGGCACAGGTAGCTTCTGTTGTTCATCTCCACTCACCTCCACAGCAGGACAAACACAACTGGAAAGGGAGAGAAGGCTTCACTTCTGCGGCTCTCTGTGCATGTGCTGATCATTGTGTGCTACACTGTTGTGCTGCGGAGACGCAGAGCATTTCTCAACATTTAATCACCTAATATTTAGATTTTTTATTTGTTTGACAGGGAAAGCTATGCACAAACAGAAGCACACACATGCACACATATATTCATTTATTTAAAAAATAAATAAATAAACACTCCCCAGAAAAAAGGGCACTTTCTCTCGAGGAAGAAAAAGAGCAGGTGCACAAGCTCCCTTTGATGTCTGTGTGCAAGTGCCTGCTCTCACATGCAATTATTTTACTTTATTATCAGTCGAAAATAAAAGTATATTCGCTGTTTGCCATAGTGGATCGATCTGATCCAAAAGCAAATTCAAGGGCTGCTTAAGAATAAGCGTGCACATCAAATTATCTTGACTCATTGAATTTGTGAGATTGTGTGAGCTTGTCGTTCATGGGACCACTTTAGCCCCAATTGATTTGTTAGTCAAGTTTTGTACTTCAATCCTCGCTATTCTTAGCATCTTTTATGAAAAAGGCCACAGAGTTGTGAGCCAGCATCACTGCCATGGGAGTCCTTATGGAATACAAAGATATGGATGTGAGTCCCACCCACCCTCCTGCCACTGCGAGTGAGTACTGACTGGACTTAATGGACAGTTTGTCTGAGGGTGGAGAGATGAATTCCTTGTGTCCCTTAATCTTGACAGAATATGTATCATCATATTTAGTCCTGCTGACTCTGCTCACCCTCCCTTTCCCACGACCTCTCCAGACTGCTATTAGAACTGCATTTTTTTGTTGGTTTCTGTTCTCCACTACCCTCCTCAGTCCTCAACCACTCCTGCCACCCAGTCATCACCATCCCCCATCAGTCCCTCTTCTCAGTGGCATGGTTACACCATGCTGGGAGCCATTTTTTCCTGAGCGTGATGAGACCGTGGCTCTGCCTCCAGCCTTGGTGTGTTCTGTTCTACCTCTACCTGTGGCCCTGACTGCTACACCTGGGCTCTTTCCTCCCTCAAATCCAGCATGGACCATCGGGCATTTGGCCTCACTGGGCTCCCTTGGACTGTCGGACATCTTTGTGGACTTGTGGGCCATTCGCTGCTCTCTGGCACTCCACTCCTTCAGCTTCGGACAGCTCCGCTTTCTCTTAGGCTCGACCTTAGCCCTCAGTTGTTCCAGCTCAACCTCAGCCCTAAGAATACCTACTTCCATCTCTGGAGGTCGTCGCTGTGGCTGCATCACGCCCGCCTAGCTCATTTGTGTTCCATCACTCCCTCAGCTCTCTGTCTGCACTGTGGGCTCCACTAGCTATGGCTCCATCACTGTCGGTCACCCCCGTTGTCGTCAACCAGGATTCCGCCACGGCTCTTTCCTCCATCAACTCCGATGTAGGCCATTGTCCTGGTCAGTCTCTGGGTCAGCACCACCTGGTCACTCAGCCCATCATCTCCACCATGGCTGCTACCACCATCCACTCCTCCCTGGTTCCTGCTGTCTGCTCCTTGTCCAACTCCAAAGCCCATTCCCTCACTTTATCTGTTATGCTGCAAGGTCCCGCCTTCCGGGAGGGGGCGTAATGCTACTAATATACATTTATTCTTGTCTTGGTTCTTTTTTATGGACTTTTAGTTTGTTTCTATTCAGTTTCCTTTTTCCTTTGTTCTAGTTCCAGCCAGTATTTAGTTGTCATGATTTGATTGAGTTAGTCTTCAGTTGTGTTTGTCTGGCCTCGTAAATGTTTTTTGCTGTGTTTGATTTACCTGCTTTGTTTGGATTTTCTTCAGTGTGGATCATTAAAGACTTTTGAAACCTCATCTTCATGTGCATTTAATAACCAAGTTGTGACAATTATAGTATTTAGACAGTGACCATATATTTTTATTTTGAAGTGCTCTTAAAGGGGACATAACACACACACAGTTTGGCCAATCACATGTTAATCTTGAGTACCTATAGAGTAGTATTGCATCCTTCATACCTCCGAAGAGTCTTAAGTTTTATCAAAAAGAAAGATACAGCTTTACAAACAAACACACTTGTGAAACTCCATTGCTGCCCCGGAAAAAGGAAGCTGAACAAGGTTACCTTTCCCTCACATCCAAAAACACACTTATTTGGAAACATTCTTCTCGAGCAAGTCCTGTACGACGCTGCCAACAACTTTGGTAAACTGAATGAAGCACATTGATGGGCATGTTCTTGCTCTCGCTCTGGTTGATGTGTGCATGCGCTCGTCCGGGAGAAATGCTCATACAAGGAATTCTGCCCTTCATGACGTCATGAAGGGCCATGCTCGAAAAAACTTTCCGAAACTTATACAAACCCGGAAGGAGTGTATTTGGCACACAAATACTCCGTCATCTGTCCAAATCACTTTTTGAGACTTTGGTCATGTTTAGCATGAGAATCAAACTCGTGAAATATGCATGAAATAGCGTTAGCCACCCCCCCCCCTTAAAGGTTATAACCAGTGGTGTAGTGCAGGGTATACGCAGCTATATGGCGTATACCCACTTCTTTATCAGTCGGCTTTGCATATACCCACTTCAAAATCCTCTCTGATGCGCATCATTCATATAGTGTCCTGCATTATTAGCCAAATCATGACAGTCCAGCACATGAGTAGCCAATCAAATCGTTTTGTGAAAACATTTTAAAATTCCCTAGCAGGCCCGGTTCTTGACGGCTATAGAAGGGTGGGCTGGCAGATATCCTGGGTGGGCATTTTTTAGTCGTCACATCATCACATAATCTAGAAGATATTTATACTGTACATATTGCTATAGGCCTATTATAGGAAGCAGAAGCAACAGACTGAAATCTTCCAGAAGCAGAAAAGGAAAAAAGCACCAGGCCCAGATTGTGTGACACCAGCCTGTCTGAAAACCTGTGCTGACCAGCTGGCCCCCATCTTCACACACATCTTCAACAGATCACTGGAGCTGTGCGAAGTCCCTTCATGCTTCAAATGCTCCACCATCATCCCCATCCCAAAGAAATGGATCATTGTTTCTACACTGGTGACTCTTTTCAACTAACCTTTTTATTTAAACCAAACAAGGCTTTAATCATGTCTAGAACATTGGAGGGACCAATACTTTTGAGGAAAATATAAAGACCAGACCACTATGGTAATAGTAATTATTTAAAGAAACAAAATAAATAAAGGATTTAAATGGATGTAGGGGAATAAATTAAAGAAAAAAGAAGAGTAAAGGAACAAGAATAAGACATTTTTTTAAGTAATCAATGTGAACTGCAAATAATATTTTTATCTTAAAATATGCACCCATTCAATTTCAGTTGTATTGTTGAAAACACAAAACAGAAAAATGCTATTGTCGTCATAATCAATTATAAATTACATGAATCATGTAAATGGCAAACCTACTTTCCATTCAAAACTGTGGAATTTGACAAAAAAAGTTTGCATCACTGGATATTGTTGGTCGTTTATGTCCGGGAATGCTACGTTGCTTACACAGTCGAGCCGACTGTTGCAACGAACGCAACTTTCACCGCACAAGCTCTTTACTTTCAGTTTTCATTCATACATTCAGAATTAACAGCAGTCCAAAAGGGGTAATCTTTCAACTGAACTGTATAGCCTACATGCATTTATGGCGCTTTTCCACTGCATGGTACGGCTCAATTTTGGGGGGTTTTCCACTGGGTACAGTACCTGGTACCTGGTATTTTTTTTAGTACCACTTCAGTTGGGGTTCCAAGTGAACCATACAGTTACCAAAACGTGACGTGTAAACTCTGTTGATCAGAGCCGAGTCGTACCACGCAGTGGAAAAGCGCCATTAGATGCTTATATATGCTCTTGCCCCGTCCATGCACGTTATTGAATGCTGTTTTTTTTAGAACATTAAAATTGCTCAGGTAATTTCAGTGAAAGTGGAACTCGCAAACTCCCCGTTATAGCGCGCAAATATTTCCACCCATTTTCGCTCGTTGTCAGTCTCTGCTTTTCTGCAACAGACTGAAGCCTTGTGAATTCAGTGCGCCTTGCATTTAGCTAATAAAAGCTATTGTATTATTTTCTATGTTCAGTCTCCAGCTATATCTTAAACTTCTTA